AGCAGATTTCCAGTTCGTGTGTGACTTAGAATGAGATGAAACATCGATCCCAGGATGCCCCATTCACTGCCATCCACTTCGCTTTCCACTTCGCCAAGAACTTCGCCGCCGTCGATGTTCTAGTGCATGCGGTTTCGGCAGCGACCAAATGGATTTTTATGATGCCCAGTCCGTTTTCATTGAAAAGAATGCCGCGAAAACCATTAATAGTTTGCCCACTAAGCGCATAACAAAAATAGGACTCTCTAGCAGTCTTGGGAAAAAAAGGAAAATAAAATTAACGTAATGAATTAAATTAATTAAATCAAGCATGAAAGCGAAAACATTCACTAGTAAACATAAAATATTTACACATATTTATTATAAACAACGAAATAAAACATTTAATAATTAAAATACTTAAAATACCGATAATACCAAGTAAGGGGAACAGGACAACACTGAACTCAATCTCCTTCTTCCAGCATGGGTACTCGGTCTGTTCATGTGCAAGGCACTTAACTACATGCAGCTGGTGTGCATGAACGTAACCGTCTACACGCTCCTGGCGATGTCGGTGGAGCGATACATCGTGATGCGCAGGAATAGCTCCTTCCAGCGGATCGTGAATATGTGCGGAAAGATTATCCTGGCATGCATCTGGGTCTTTTCCCTCGCCGTGAGCATTCCGTCTGCCCTCTACGCCATTCATTATGAGAACCAGGTATGGAATGGGTGTGGATGGAGAATACTATTTTTCCCTGGATATATTCATTTTCCAATTGTTTTCGAATTGTTTTTTCACAAGAACTTCTTTACTTTTTCGAATATATTTCAAAAAGTTTTTACCCATGTCAATTTAGGCTAGAATCGAAGGTAAGAATTTTCTTCCAAGCTTGAAATTCAATTGGCAGCGACAAGGCCAACAAGATTGGCAAGACCGACAAGAATGACCATATCTCGCTTATCAAGAAAAGAGGGAAATCTCCCTCGTGTAGTGGCCATTTAGGGGGGTAATGCCACCAAAATCTAACTGCCCGCTCACATGCATGTCTCCGATGAGAAATAAGGAATGCGTCGACTGGTCATCGCTGTCATAAGGAAGGCCCTCTCAAGGCGGATCCTCCTCAAGTACCTCTCTGAGAATAGACCCATCCCCATGAATGATCCACCTCATTATCAATTGTCTTTCCCTAGGAGGCAGAATATGAACGTTTATGTGGTAGATCCAGATAAGTGGGGGGGGGGGGGAAGAAGGATGAAAGAAGTCCTTGATTTACATCTCCTTTAACTTCAGATTTGAGCTCCTTGGTAATGGCAATGTTTTTCCGGATCAGGGGTGCAATAACATTCGTCGCTTCCAATTGGGACTTGAATTGCACTTGAAACGTGAAATTCCTTTTAATTAGATTCGCACTTGTGACTGGAATCATCCTAGAAATTAAGATATGCTTAATGTTATTCGTAGTTTTACTCTTTTGCTTATTCGAATGCAGCACTCACGAAGTTCTATGGGTCATTCCACGGAAAAAATGGACAAATGAAACAACATTACAAAACGAATAGGCGAATCAACAGTAGATGTCGTGATGGATATTGTGATGGTTTGGAATCCTGCATAGCTAAAAGGTTCTAGCAGCATTCGCCCGTGAAAGCAAAGACATAGTAGTGACAACTGAAAAGGCAATTTGTTTGTCTCGTATTACAACAATGCATACTGCGCAGAATCAATATTGGGTGCCTCAAATTCAAAACGGCGAACATCACAGCCAAGGTAATCAAGGGTCCAAATGATCCTCTCTCAGATCCACTCTTTGTGGCAACATCCACAATTCGCTCGCTCAAAATGGCTCGTCCATTCATTTTGAAATGGAGATACATTTGTTCCTTCCAACATGGAACATCCCATTACATCTCCTAAGCCAAATTAATAGTCTTATGTTTACATGTAAGTTCTTGCCTATTCTTTCCGTTGTCATTGTTATGAGTGTCTATAATATAAAAGTAAATGGGAAAAGCTGACCATTCTAGTTTCTTGAGTAATCTGTAATTTGTGAGTCCTTACGTAATTCCCTTGTTAAAGAACCCAATGGGGAGATTTTAGAGTTTATATACTATTGGGTTGTAACATATATTCCCGCCGTTTTTATATTTTGTTTGTTTTAAACACAAAATATAAAAACGGCGGGAATATATGTTACAACCCAATAGATCACCTCACCTTTTACCTTAATGAAAAAGAAGTACTCTCCAAATCCAAATAAAAAGAAAGGATTCATTCACGCAAGACATACAAGTGGAGATTGTGTCCTTGCATTGTAAAATGAGTCACGAAAACATGCTTACTTTTTCTCGCTAATTGCTTTTGAACAAAGGATCGCAATGCAATGACTGGTAATTGTTATTATAAAACATGTTATGAAAGAAAAAGCATCCATATCTCGGAACCTATTTTTGCCAGAGTATGCCGCAAGGTCACCCCAACCCCGGACCTTGGGAATTGGGGTACATGTATATGATGCATGTAACTGCAAATGTAGTTCCTTGATTCATGAAGCCGATGCAAGTACTGATGTGCATCCGCGAAACTCTTTTCGATTTCATAGTACACTGGAATGAGCTCCTATTCTGAAGTGCATCAATATCGCTCAACCGTATTTATCGTGCTCTTTTTTAGCGTAGAGTATACGTATCTTCATATATAATACATCTTTTCTTTCTCACCTACAGTTCTGCATAGAGAATTGGCCGTCAGAGAAAATACGGAAGATCTACTTTATTTTCGCCCACCTCATCATGAGCTATACCTTCCCTATGGGTATGATGACCATTTGCCATTTCTGGATCTGGCTGAACTTCCATCGGCAGGTCGTGGGCAAGCGTATCGACCCGAACGAACTAATCCGCCTAAATAACTGGCGAGAGTGGGAGAAGATGATCCTGGTGTTGGTCTCCGTCTTTTTCCTCTGCTGGCTTCCCTCATTCATCGTAATTATCCTAATGAACTTTTCCTCCCATTTCTCCCATGGCGAGATCTACATGTTCAGCTACGTCCTACTGGTGACCCAATGGCTGGCTAACCTCACCAATTGCGTCTACCCCATCATTTACGTCTTTTTCAAGCGAAACTTCCGCGAAGGTTGCAATCAGCCTCAGGACGAGCTTCTTACCGCTGAAATCGAACTGCGACAAATGCTCCCTCCTCCCACTCAACTCCCACCGTCGGCTCCGTTCCACAAAGGGGACCCATCATAACACCAGCATCCGCAACAGATCCCTGAATTAGAAGCTATTGCCTCTCCCTCTGGAGCCACTGACTCACTTTCAGCAGCCAAGTGCGACTGCTCTCCCGATAAGATCTGGTGCCGGAACGAGTTCTCCTGTTTCCTCCAGGAACAGGCGTCGTCGTTTGTGAGTGAACAAATTGGCTTCGAGGCAGGGAAGGTACAGCGACTGTATCGCGAACAAGCATCCCTGACATCGGATTCTATGAACAAAACTGACATTTGCAAAGAAGATTGCTCAAACCTGGGCCTGTTCCTCGCCTCTGCTGAACCTAATAATCTAAAGATAAATCTTAACTTGACCTGAAAGGAATTCAAAACGCAACCATAGGGGTATTTCTTCTTAGAGTTGTATGAATGGTTTTCTATTTAATTATATTTTAGATTTTTGCAAAGTTTGGTTTTAAAATTAATCTAAATTTAAGGTAATCTAATCTTTATTTGAAGGGATTGGAAAGCAACCCAGGGGGTCTCCTTTTCCTCATTTCAGTGCGACAATAATGCACGTGCACACATGGTATTGGGAGGGGACCCATGTGAATAAAATCAGAACTTTCCATTAGAACGGGAGGATGGGACATCTGTGAACTGTGGCACAACCGAAAGAGGGGGCTCAGAGTTTTTCCTCATTCTATCTTGAGACTTCTTGAGGATTGAAAACCATTGAAGACCTATATCGCAGCTAAAGCAAATGAATAATTATGACATTAGTGTGGAATGATCTAAGACTCTCATATGGTATCGAACAAACTATGAGAGACAACAAGAGAGAAACAACCTATATCCAGTCTTTATCCAAACGTTTATACGACATTTTGACAGGCCCGACCCAGTCTAAAAATATTGCCCCCACCCCCAACCTCCTTCCCCAGATCGTCGCCAGAGGGCGCCGTTCATGTAGACGGCCCTAATGTACTTTTTCTTGTCATTTGTTGTAAATTATGTATCATTTGACAAAAAATTGCTTGCATGTTGATAGCTTGAAAATAAAATGTATTATCCACAGAAGAAATTCCGCGGTTGCATTGGAGATAAGATCTCATAATGACCTCCGTGCAGGGCATTCCCTGGGACTCACTCTTTCGAACTTGGTTAATCGACAGCGTTCCTGAACGTGAAATGTTTAGGTGGATTAGGTTTCTAGCAGAGCTCTTTCAAGTTATCCGTGTTCTAGGTTAGTTGGACCGGATGGGATCACGAACGCTGATAAAGATTTGCCGTCGACTGTTCCCTGGATGAAAAAAAGACGTCACTCGCGTGCAACACCATCAACGCCATCCCCCACCACAGCGGGAGTGTATTCATTTGGTAAGCACTGTAAAATCGCTTTTCTTAAGGGAAGATCGACCCCTCAACAGCCCTCTAACTCGTGGGACAGATGTGTGCTTGGGCACAGGGTCATAATAGCACGGACAGTACTGGTACTGCTGACAGGAAAGATCCCATCACAGAACCCCCCTACTGGAAATAAAAGCACCAATATCGACCTAATGAGGGGTCCGATAGTAATACCAAAATGGTTCTACATGTACAGTATATTCTCTGGCATGCGATATTTGTTAAATATGGCAGTGTTACTATGGCAGAAGCCAATGTTGGACAACATCGCAAATGTGGAATTCCAACATTGGCCCAACGTTGACTTAACATGGGTGTGCTATCGGGGTAAGTCTTCCTCGCCTACTCCCGGTGCTCGACCATATTCTTATGCCCACCTCGAGGGTCCTTCTTCACCTCGAATTAGAAATCCCATGCAGTCCTCCTGGTTGAAAGTGATGTGGGTTGAGGGCAAAATTATTTACACAGTAGTCGGCCTGGGGCGCCTGCTTATTTCCGGGCGAATAGTTTCACTTGGCTTCCCTCAATTTCTAAAGTGATTTTCTTAACGATCTGTTCTAGCGTCGCCTCGGTCTTCAACTGCTGGGCAACACATAGGGTTTACGGACGTGTCCTTAACTTAGAAAGAATTGGGTTCCAGCCAGTGATTTTTCCAGGAGAAGACTCATGCCCTGCATTTCGCTGCCTTCTGTTCGTAGTGTGTCATTCAAATGCTGTCTTTCAAAAGTCACCGGATGAAGAGCAAAGCTTTGGGAAAAAAAGGTTGTTTCTGCTCTATAGCGTAAGGGTCATTCCACGTCAGATCGATCAGAGATTTTGGTCGACCATCAGCGATTTGGCTGAAATTTGGTGAGGAGGTAGTGTTTCACCCAAACGCGGGATATCCAAAATATTCTTTTTTCTGACCAATGGTGTGTCCGTGGCGACATCACAAAATGTTGACCTATTTCAGCTGGTTAGGTTGACCTCTATCAGACTTTCTTGAATAACTCCTTAGCTATTCGTCAGAGAATATTTATTTAGGTCTCCTTTTAAATGTTTCTTTCATTTCATTCTCGTGAATTTCATTTCAAGCTCATATTCATGTATACTCACTTTATATTTAAAAAATCGAAGACGTTTGACATTTGTCCCTTCATGTAAAAAGTACATTTTAAATGTACTTTTAAACATTATTAATGTTTAAATCTCAATAAGATTACAAGATAACACGAAATAATATGAAAATAAGGCTCTTAAATTTTCTGGAGGATGTTTTGCATTAGTTTTCAGATATGTATAAAAACGTATTTTACAGTTTCAGTTTTTGGGTGCTTAATTTTTAGAAACCTCAAAATCGATTTGATTTCCTGCTCCGGAAATATCGTGTAGGGCGACCTACATCATTTTGTTTTACTCATGAGTCTATTTAGTTCATATATATTTAGATTCGGTTTTGCAACCAGCCATGAGATAGGTACAACAACAGAGAACATTTTAAATAGAATACTGTTTACAAGGATTAGGAAGAATCTTTTATTCACGTGAGGAAACGGTGAAATATAGCACATTTTTCTTCAGTATCCCCTTAGCTTCTGAAGGTGATCCGACATTCCATCCTGCTCAGAATCTCCTGTCAATGCACTGCGAACCCTCAATACACTTTTTCAAGACATCGATGTAACCCCATAAACACGGCCCAGTTGTCTGGTTGTCGTCGGGCACAGTATACAGAAGGAAAGATCGCAGAAGAAGACCTAAGGAACTATGGAAGTCCAATTGGAATAGATAGGCAAGCCAGAGAATCCTATAGGAAGAACTGAGGCTGCAGATGGATCTTGATTCAAGAAAAAATACTTTCCAGTCGGTATTAGATGAAAGAGAAATTCCTCAGCACGGTAAGTCGAGATGTAAAAATCCAGATCCTGACTTTGACTCCATGAGGATGGACATTAGGTGAGTCGGCCAAGTTCTTTGGAGCCACCAACTATAGTGTGAAACTGGCAAGGAAATTGAAGGAGGTGGAAGTAGTCTTGACCAAAGAAGATTGAAGGCAAGAAACTACCAAAAATAACGATGGATTTGGTTAGGCAGTTATACCATGATGACTCAGTTTCGCGAACGTGTCAAGCTGCAAAGGAAAATGTCGCTGTAAAAACTGAGAATTGCGGTCAAGAACAACGAACTCAAGAGTCTCATCCTTGGTAATCTCAAGGAAGTGTCCCAAGCATTCAAAAACAAAAATCCTGATGTTGAGGTTGTGTTTTCAAAGTTTGCTGAAATTCGGCAGAAATAATGTATTCTGGCGGATGGATGTGGTGCTCATACCGTGTGCGAATATACTTTACACCAAAACGTAAAGCTGGTACCACATGGGGGAAGAAGTAAGTGAACCTACAAAGAACTGACCTCCAATATTGTCTGTCACCAGTCAATAGAAGTCTTCTTAGTGGACCAATGGAAAAACTGCCCAGGAATTAAATTCCTGCAAGACGACTGGCTGACCGGCTTTGAAGAAGGTTTTTGAGGATACGATTACCAACAAACAGTGGGTGACCACTGATCGGGCTAATCTGGAGGCAGATTTATCTGATAAAGTCCACGGACTAACGAGAATCTTCTATTCCTCTGATGGTACAACTGCTCAATATAAATTATAAAGAATCTCTCAAGCCTGTGCCATCACAAGGCTGACATTTGTATCGCCGCACAGTGGCACTTTGCGAAGAGTCATGGAAAAGGTCCATATGATGGTAATGGTGAGACTCTAAAAGGTCTAGCCACTAGAGCCATTATCCAGCGGACAAAAAAGACATATACTAAGTGCAATGGGCCTATTCTATTTTTGAAAATCCTGCTGAAAAGTATCCAGTTCTTATATGTGAAGAAGGATGACGTGGAGGAGACAGGGAAGATACCTCAGCCATTCATTCCAGTCCCTCCAGCCAATTCCAGCAGCCCGGAAACATCATTCATACGTGCCTATTGATGAGAACCAATTTCAAACCCGAATCTGCTCTGCTGCCAAAACCAGTTCTAACAGAAATTAATTGAGATCAAATCCTTCATCCTTTCACCTCAATTCCTCAATGTCAAATTTCTTCCCATGCTGTATGTTGAAAACATGAGATTCAAAATATAAAAAAGGTGAAGAGCTGCTGATTTAAAGGTATTACCATTCCACAAATGTGTCACATTGATAATGTTGGAGCAACAAATCAATTTTTCAGCTTTCTGAAATTAATGCACCAAGAAAAACAGAAAGTGTAAAGCACATTTTCCCACATATCTTGAAGCTGGGGGAAAACATCCTCTAGAAAATTTGTGAGCTTTATTACCATATTATTTTCTTGTAAATTCGTAAATTTTGTGAAGTTTAATTATTCAATATTTCTTATTTGAAGGATCAAAAGTCAAATGCCTTCGAAGTTTATAAATGAGAAATGAGTATGCATGAATATGAGGTTGAAATAAAATTCACAAGATAGAGCTAAAAGAGACCTTTAAAAGGAGTCCTAAATAAAAATCCTATAAGAAGGAGTTATTGAAGAAAGTCTTTGATTTCCGGCTTTCGGGGCAAACGATACCGCCGCATCAAATTCCACCAAATCGCTGATGGTCGACCATAAAATATAGAAATTGGTCAATCTGACTAGGAATCTCCCGTATTTCAATTTGTGTGCCCTTCGAGCAAACAAACTCGCAATGAACGCATCTTCGGCGCGGTTCGCTCCATAAAATATTAATAATTATACGATTAAAGCATTCCTTTTCGATTCTCAACGATACAAATAGGTAAAACTACATGGATCACTAAATTTATTTCGTGGGTACAAGAACTCCGACTTGTGTGAAGTGATATTCAATATGATGGTAAGACGTGAACCAGACATGCTTCATAGCCCCAAAACGGTCACTTTAGTGTTCACTGAAGCAAATATATATCATTGCAAACATCTCCCCCAAAACAAGTACCCGAAGTTCAGAAACCTGAACTTCGGGCTGAATCCTGTAACTA